AAAAAAAAAAAAAAAAGAAATAAATAAAACATTGATGCACAGATTTAAGAATGATTTATTTTAAGCACCTTCCCCCCAAGTTGCCTTTGAAGAGTTCACATGATGCATTATATGTCGATGAGATTGTTTCCACATCTACCTGAAAAGGGAGCAAATCATATTTTTGTCGAAGCTTCAATATACTTAACTGCTTACTTTTCTTTGTCTTTTATTAAGACTATATGTCATGAGTATATGACATTAATATTTTGTGAAAAGTTTAGCAGTGTTACAGAAATGGGATGTGGTTCCGTGATTAAGAAACCATAATTTATTTCTTTGCTATAGTTCTTAAAATATCTCATTGAACTGAGTCTCTCTATTTGAATGTTGGTGATTTTTTTCCCTCTTTTAAAATTTGTGCCACATTCCTTATTTTTTAGGATGAGAATCAGCATAACTTTCCATCTCAGGGAATAGTTTTTGGAGTTTGTTCTTAAATCCTCAAAGTCAGTGATTAGGAGTATTGGCAAAATTTTTTCTCTTACCTTTTTTCTGACCCATGGTAACACAGTCTGAGAAGTAATCTACAAACCTGGGAAGAGGTTGTTTTTGTGTAAAACAAACTAGGAATCTATTGTTGCTTGGTGACAATTCATTTCTTGGCATTCAAATTCATTTAAAATTCATCTTATTCCACCAGCAGCTTATCAAAGAAATTCAAAAAAATAAAAAATATATGTATATACATATAAATAAAATACATCTTAGTTCGTCCCTATGGAAACATTCAATTAAAACTGGGCTCTCATTTTCAGAAATCATCCTAAACCTGTTATTTGGGTTTTCTGGTAGTTTTTACACTTTTTTAGATAAAGCTGTAAAAGCAGCAAGAGTAGCTATACTCAATTATCGTTTCTGAAAATATTTAGCATACTATGAAATAATTCATAATTATAATTAGTACACCTTTGCTATACCAGTTCTGTAAATTATGTTGATAATTTAAATTATATATTTAGTAACTTGTATTTTATTTGAGTTTTTTCTTTTGTTTGTTTTTTTTGTTTGTTTTTTTTTTTGTTGTTTTTTTTTTTTTTTTTTGACGGAGTCTCGCTCTGCCGCCCAGGCTGGAGTGCAGTGGCCAGATCTCAGCTCACTGCAACCTCCACCTCCCAGGTTCAAGTGATTCTCCTGCCTCAGCCTCCTGAGTAGCTAGGATTACAGGTGCCCGCCACCACGCCCGGCTAATTTTTGTATTTTTAGTAGAGACAGGGTTTCACCATGTTGGCCAGGCTGGTCTTGAACACCTGACCTCGTGATCTGCCCGCCTTGGCCTCCCAAAGCGCTGGGATTACAGGCTTGAGCCACTGTGCCCAGATGTTTTGTTTTGTTTTAAAACCTGGTCTGCAGGAATAGGTAAGACTTAGCGTGACCTCAGTTTATGTTTGAAG